GGGCCCGAGTCGTTCAGGTGTTTACCTGAAATGGCCTCAGGTGCCTGAAGTTAGCTGTTCCTCATCAAGTGTTGTGTTGCGAGGCGGTAGACCCCAGGAAGGGCAGGCAGTGTTGAGGAGGACGCTGGAAAGATAGGAGGAGCCTGGACACAGACAACCTTTTTTTTTCGTGATTCTGGGAAGACCTTTGAACCCAGAACCTTTGCACTGAGCTACGTCTCAAGACCTTTAAATTTTTTTTTAGTTGTTGTGAGAGAGGGTCTCACTAAATCATGTAGTTACCCAGGCTTGGGCTCGAATTTGCTATCCTTCTGCCTCAGCCTCCCAGTGTACTGGGCTTGCCGGTGTGCGCCACCTTGCCTTTTGGAACAAACTTAACCATGATAGGCCTATTCTGATTCAATCCTGAGGAGACAAAAATAAAAGCCCTGACAGACCTGTGGGACATTGCCAGTCCAGGATAATGTTGGCCGAGCACAATTTTGATTTTTTAGCCCAAGCAAATTTCTCCATGGCAGACCCTGCCCTGAACTGATGCATATTCCAAATATGTGTGTCCTTTAGCCAACCTTACCCTGAACTATTGTTTTCTCTAACCCGTTAGACCAGTCAGTAATAATATCATATGTAACCAGTCAACTGCTTACTCTGCTTCTGTGTGTAGTTCCTGCTCGCAAACGCTATACAAACTTTAAAATGACAAAAGACAGGTGCCTGGTTCTTTGAGGAACTGCCCTGACCAGGCCCATTGATGTAATAGTTTGCTCTCTGCCTCCAAGTCCTGGATGTTTTTCATTGTTTCCCATCTGCTGTTACACTGAGATCCTTTTTAAAAGTAGACTTTTATCTTTTATGAATGCCTAAAAAAAGGGGGAAAAAAACCAGTTACCAGCTGATCTCTCACTTTTCTCTGATTTTGTCAAACAATTTCTTTTTTGTGTTTTTTTTTTTTTTTTGGTACTGGGGAGCAAACTCAGGACCTTGAGAGGCAGGCAATGGCACCACTGAGCTAAAGTCCCTGCCCTAACAATTTCAAGGCTGAACCTAAACAAAGGAAACAATAACTGCTGTCTCTCTACTTAAAACCCTGCTGAGAAAACTGACATGCCTTTGCATGTTACTATGTTGAAGATGAGCGGATTAACATAGTAGCCAATATAAGTTGCTTGTTAATTTACAAGGTGATGGGTATTAATGCTCTTAGAGATTTTTTTTTTCTTTTTATTGAGTTTATTGGTACAATCTAGGTATACAATACAGTTACATTCATTACTGGGTCCTGTACCTTCACATGACTCTTAGAGATTTATGTATGGTCACAGTCTCATAATTTAGAAAGACAATTACGTTGAATAATACACATTAGAAAAGTTGTATCCAGGGGCTGGAGTTTTAGCTAAGTGGTTTCACTGCTTGCCTTAGAAGCACAAGGGCCCTAGTTCCATACCCGTAAAACAACAACAAAAAAATTCACCTAAATAGTTACAATAGATTGGAATTTAAGTTTTTTCATTAGAATTTTGTCATTAGCTAGTACCCAGTAAATGACTAGCAACAAATATTTGCAATTGAATTGAAAGATATTCAAGGCAAAGATAATTTAGATAACAAAAGCTATTGAGAATGCAAAAATGCAGCTTCTAAATGAAGAACCAATCACATCGAATTCAGCTTTCCTGACTTATGCTTTCATTTTAGTGTATCATTCAGGTTATTTTTGGATGTGCTGAAGAACCTTACCTGATTTAATCCGCTTTAAATTTTATCTATAGATATGCACAGACCATATGCCAAGATTAACTTCTGGCTCAACAGAAGTGAATGAGCAGGGCCGGGGATTTGGCTCAGTGGTTCTGCCATCCGCCTCGCAAGCACAAGGACCTGAGTTCAATCCCTGGTACCAAAAAAAAAAAAAGAAAAAAAAAAAAAAAAAAAAAAAAAAAAAAAAAAAAAAAGTGAATGAGCAATGATTTAATTGGAAATGATTTATATGCTTTTAAGAACTAGTGTGATCTTTGCTGAGCATAGTGGTGCATCCCTGTAATCACAGCACTTGGGAGGCTGAGGCCAGGGGTTTGCTGGGTTTGAGGCCAGCCTGACCTTGATTGTCTTAAAAAGACCTTCCTTGTCTTAAAAAACCAAAAATAAATATATAACTGGTGTAATATAGATATATCTTGAATTTTCTCCCCTGCTTACCCTTTAGACCTTGTACTTCATTGCAACTCTCAAATCTGCCATATTTCCTTGCTACTTAATATTTTCACTTTTTCTTTTTTTTTTTTTGGTACTGGGGATGGAACTCAGGACCTTGCACTTGCAAGGCAGGCGCAGTGCCACTGAGCTAAATCCATGGCCCAATATTTTGACTTTTATAGAACTATTGGGTGATCACTCAGTTTTTGCCTGTGCAAATACCATAGTTTTCTTGTGATGAGTAAGTACAGATACAGTGATACATGCCTGCAATTCTAGCACTTAGGAACTAAGGCAGGATAATGTCAAACTTTGGACTAGCCTGGGCTACATAATGAGACCCCTCCAAAAAATTTTTTTTCACCCAGATGTATTGCATTCAGTGTAATCAATTTTTTTGTTTGTTTGTTTGTTTTTTGAGACAGGGTCTACGCAGGCGAGACTGACCTGGAACTCACTATGTAGCCCAGGCTGGTCTCAAACTCACAGCAAACCTCCTGCCTCAGCCTCCTGAGCACTGGGATTACAGGCATGCGTCACCATGCCCTGCTTAATCAATATTTGTTTTTAAATTTTTCTAGCTTTGAAATGCATGAGTATTCTTAATAGATTGAGTAAGTAATACAAAATGCACTGAACCATATTCTGTCTCATTGTCACATATTCTTATATCATTTACTTATTTATTTTGCTGAAGCTTAAACCTGGACCCCTGCTATTTAAGTACATTACAATTGACTCGAATACCTTTTTTTTTTCAGCTTTAAAAATTTGCCAGATTAACTGATTTTAGTTCTTTTTTTTGGGGGGGGGACTGGGAATCGAACTCGGGCCCTTGCGCCTGCCAGGCAGGCTGCAGAACCACTGAGCCAAATCCCCAGCCCTCGGAAACCTTTTTATTCATGTTTACTAATCTGAGGAGAGCAGACCAGTCAGACAATGACTGGACAGAAATAACTAAATTTTAGAGGGAGGGGAGATGATGATAGATGTACTACAACATGAACTTTTGATTCTGTAAAAGGTGTTAACAATTATATAGAATCATTATATAGAATAATTAACAATTACATAGAAGCATTAAATAGCGTGATCTCTATTAGTATACGTCTAAGCCTCTGCTATGTATACTGCTATTGAAGTAAGGGCATATAAGGTAGCCATGGCAAAATTTGTAAGACCTATCTGGTGCTCTTTATGAAGGAGTATGTAACTGGCTTTCTAGTGCACTGAGCTACATCCCTGAACCATTTTAAAATTTTGAGTGGGGTTCTTGATAAGTAATTGAGTCACCAAGGAGGACCCAAACTTGTGGTTGTCTCGAGGACTAAAATTGGTTCATTGGTAAAAGGCTTGCACAAGGCCCTGAGTTCAATCCTAGAGCCAACACACATGCACATGCACGAAGTCATACTAAAAATAGAGATGTTTTGTTTGGTGCCACCAATCTAACAGAAATAGTGTGGGAAGAAAAGTGGCACAATCATTATATACCTATAGCATCCAAACTATATGAGAAAAAAAAGCAATGACTACATTAAGAGAAATACACAAATCCAGAATCACAGTATTCTCTGCCTGCTCCTCTCTCTTGGTGGTTCTAAGCCTAGATGCACTTTACCACAGAGCTACCTACCCAGCCCATTCATTCATTCATATATTTATTATTAGGTCTTTTTCTTTGAGACAGACTTGTATTCAGACTGCTTTTGAACTCACTGTATAGCCCAGCTTGGCCTCAAACTCATGGCAGTTCTCTTGCCTCAGCTTCCAAGTGCTGGGATTATAAGCTTGTGCCACCATGCCTGGCTTATTCATTTATTTATTGAGACAGGATCAAAGACTTTATTAGTTATGCAACTATGATGTTGGTTGGCAAGAGGGGGTTGCATAACATAGCCTCATGTACATCCTTCTGAAAAATATATCACAAAAATAAAGCATTGTTGCCTTGTCAACATCACTGGACTCATCAGCCTGGATCGTGTACCACAGTGACTCAATCCTCACTAACAGTTATGCCTCAATATGATTTGCTATTTTTATTTTATCATTTCGTCTAGTTATGGTGCTACTGAGAAAAGGACTGTGTGCTGCCTTTTGAATTGCATCCTTTCCTAAAAGTTCATGACAAATGCCCTTAACAGTAAGCAGGATTAACTCATAGTTAAGGGCTTCTTAGCTTTAGTAATGCAGTTAGCTGCTTAAGAATAATGCTATCAGTAAAAGACACATTTGATGAAGGGGTGGACTCTAACAGTTGCTTCTGGGGCTGGGGATTTAGATCAGTGGTTCCACTGCCTGCTTCACACATGCAAGATCCTGAGTTCAATCCCTGGTACCACTCCCCCGCCACCCCGAGAAAAACTGGCTTCTGTTCTATGTTCACAAATTTTTCTTTTGAAAAACTCTAAAGGCTTTTCTTAATGCACAGTACTTGGTCTGCACATGGCAATGCAACTTTG